GTCGCCGATACAACCGCGAATCTAAACAACAATATAAACATACATTTTTATAAAAAAGCTCTTTTCGTAATTTCGAACAATCTACAACCGGAGGTGGTTTGTTTACTAAAACTATACTTAAACATCACAATAGCTGACCTTACATTAAATAAATATCATCTATTATCTATGAAATATGTGCATACGTTCATAGTAAATGTACAAAGGAAGCAACGCACTAAATCAGTAGAGTGCGCAGTATCAAAGGCATTAGTCAAATAAGCTGTCTCCCAGAAAACAAAGCACGTTGCTCCGATCTTCATAACAATGACTAAGTATTTCGTTTGTTAAGAAGTATACGATGTTACGCAACTATCGGCCAGTCGTGGAGAATTTAGACAATCTCATTTTAAATGCCGGTATGCGTTGATGGTAACTAATTTTGTTACTATAGACATTTCGTCGGCTAAATCAAGAATCAACTGGAAAACAATCAAAGGATCAAAATAATTAACTTATTTCAATACTTGTCTTAAATCTTTTCGCTTTTAAATGGTATATTAACAGTAACAAATCTTTAAGAGGTTTAAAATAGGTTTATACTTTGATGCTCACAGTCTTTTGAGCCTATTAGTCTTGCCTACTTGATTCTACTTACTTTTAAGCCTCTTCTAAGCCTATTAGAATGATGGACCCATGATTTTAAGATGACTTTTCTAGAGGCGTATTTCTTTTAAAATTAAATCGTTCATCGCCTATCAGTGAACTGCCAGCGAATGTTTGTGATCTTTATCTACAGTCAATGTTAAATTGCCTTTTGTTTCGTATGCAGTACGTAATTCAGAATGAGAATGCAAGTAAGCAAGTTCATTCTTTGAAGTTTTTTTTGTAGTAATAATATCAATCTTCTTAACTTCAACTCTATTACTTATCACGAAAGATGTATTATTTATCATAGTTGCATAATAAATCCAATTCTTACCGCACAATTTGAGGTGTCCAATATTTCTACTTCCGAGACCACTCCATCGAATGCTACTCTATGTTGGTAGAGGAAATCTGTAACAAACAAGAATACGATTATTTAAAGGAAATTTAAAAAAACAAAAGATTATATTTTAAATGTAATAAAGAAAACCTAAGATCTGTTCCCTACAATCAAAATTATGTAACTACTAGCTTTTGCCCGCGACTCCGTCCGCGTGACATTAAAAAAAAAACAAAAGTGAGTAGTCTATGTGTTCTTCCATATTATCCTTGATACAAAATTTCATCGAAATCCGTTCAGCCGTTTAGGCTACAAAATTTAACAAATATCCATCCATCCATCTAAACATTCGCATTTATAATATTAAGTAAGATTATTTCTCATCGTATTTGAGATAAAAGTATTTTAAAAATTTTATTGAACAGTAAGCATCGAGAGGATAAAAAAAAATAAACGTTTGTCCGTGGATCGTAGACCATAGATGACATTACCACTTAACGCGGCATTGTTGTAACATTATAAAAAACAAGAGAGCGGGTTTTTTACACGCATATGACCTTAATGGGATGTGTAAAGGTGTGTACAACTATAGTCGACCATGCCCACTTTTCACCGCAGCTTATTTGGACCGTATGGGTATTGGTATTTCTACCGGTCGTGGTAACCCGTTTCTTTCCTTTCTTAATTGGGCCAACGTATCATGTATTGACAACTTTAAAAATAATAATGTACACGAAAAATTTATATGTCTAAGATCGTAAATTCTAATTTGTTATTTCTAATTGTATTGATAAGGATTAAATTTTGTTTTATTTGTTTTCATTTATTTACTAGCTGTTGCCCGCGACTTCGTCCGCGTGAAAATTATGTTTAAAATGGTATACCTTACTTAAGGATGACATTTTTAAAATGTTTCCGCAGTGTCCACTTATTGTACACTTTGACCACTTAGTACCATCCTTGACCATACAATCAACAACCAATTAAGAGAAACTTTCTTATGCACATTACAAAACGGACCTTTCGTTTCGCAATTCAATCGATTTTACAGTCACAAGAACATCATAAAACGGCGATATAAAACAATCGTAAATGTTGTAATCGACATATACAGTTTTAAAGTTATTTTAATTAAAAAGAGAACAGTAATGACGCAAAATGAAATTACAATAAAATCGGAAGGAAGGGGACAAAATGCAGTAGCATAAAAACTATCTTGTAAGGCCGAATGGGCGTTAATTGTTGAAAACAAGCCTGTATCGCCGATCATATTCACTGCAGCGACTTGTAATACAACATATTCTTGTCTTTATAATTACTAAGAGAATGAGATAAATACTACACTGTTATACAAGTTGCCTGACAATGGAAACACAGTTATAAAAGCTGTTGTAATTACAATAACTGATTAGTACGTACGTCCAAGGATTATGTCCGTTCTCAAGAAAGATGAGCATCATTATTAAGCGTGTCTGCCCTCACCTTATAATTCTTGTGTATTTATAGAATATTGATTAATAATTTAAGGTCACTCAAGGTTAAATATACGTCTCAGCAAATAATTATAATGATGATATCGTACTGGCTGTTATTGACCGTGGTAAGGTGTTTTAAAAACTATAAATGGAATTCGCGTCAAAATAATTGTACCCATATTTACCATACTTGGAATTGAGGATTGAAGATCATTTTACCGGATTTTTTAAACGAAATTTCTTACTTTCCAAATTCAAAAACATGCGTTGTATCATGCCACCTATGTTGAAATTATGTTTAAACTAGCTTTCGCTCTAGACTCTGTCCGTGTGGCAATAAAAATACAAAATAAGTAGCCTATGTGTTCTTCTGGACTATTACCTACAACTATGCCAAATTTCATCGAGATCCGTTCAGCAGTTTAGGCTACAACATCTAACAAGCTTTCGGCTATCCATCCATATTTTCGCATTTATAGTATTAGTAAGATATTATTGTACTCACCCCCTGTCGAGCTGTACTCGCCGATGTACCGTTTCGTTAGATAACGCACAACCACCGCTGCAACAAATAGAAAAAAATATTATAAAAATATCGAACAAAACTTAAGGTCCAAACCTTTCTTAACGCCTCTTTGTTACAAACAATTTCTAATCACCGCATTATTTACAACCTCACACAAATGAATCATCGATTAGGAGGTTATTGCTCTATACTTTCTATTTAACTATTGTTTTCAAATGTATTGACTCCTGGAATTTAAATTTCCAAGTACAAATAATCAACGTCAATGACAGGGCAAGAAACTTGAATAGACGGGCTTACTAAATGAAGTGTGGTGAATCCTGACAGACCTATCAAAGGGAGCTGCGTATTCAAAAAGCTGATTACATCCCGGGAACGTGCTCGAAGAATTATGGGACAGTCGAGGACATTTATTTCCTACCCGGTGAAATTTCATTTCATCACTAAGCTATTGAATCGAAAGTTGTCAAAGATACGAGAAATTATACCTCTTATTTGTAGGATATTGGACCCAAAGTGGGTCTCGAATTTAATTCTTTAACTACCTTCCTTTGATGGATAGTTATTATTGAAGTTAGAATCGCTTCGATAAAAACCTCATCACCTTTATTACACTAACGTATAATGCTACTGTAATGAATGTACGCCCGTTAAATAACTTCCCGACTTTAATTCTTATTAAAGTCGGGAAGTTATACTATTATAATACAAGAGTATTAGATGCCCTTTTTATATTAGTTACTAGATTTTCTTAGATATAGGGATGTGCTCGATTCGGTCCGTTTCTTTAATCGAACCAGCTTCGTTTAGAATAATTTCGGTAAGCATTTCTTCTAAATATGTAAACAATAAAAACATGTGCAACATATATATAGATTTAATGACCACATATGGAGTTAAAAGTATAACAATAAAAAAGAAAATGGAGGAAACCTTTACGCGCAGATACCAATAAATACAAAACCAATAAATATTTACAACAGCGACTTATAGCAATTGAAACAAAATAAATGTAAATGCCAATATTAAGTGAACCACATAAATTCTGGTACATTTTATATAAGATAATACAAATAAAAAACGTAGTTGGCATACAAATGCCACATATAACAAGGCTATAATGATGTAGTAAGAAGATCCGACATTGGCGACACAAGCAAAGAAACTGGTCGTACCAAGTTCGGCGGAACAAGGGAACGGGTCCCGAGGAAATCGTTACCCATTCCTGACCCAAAATGGTTGCACAACCGGAGCGTCTACCTTACGCAAGTACTTTATAGTTTCACACGCAGGCAGAACAGTGACGCAGAACAGTAGATAATGCAAGTTAGACAAAGTAAGAGTCGATTATCGATAAGTCACGTGTTTGTCACCTATTTTACTAGAGATTCTACTAGAGATTTTTTTAATCAAAAGTCACTTTCTCTAGCTCTTAAGTGCTGGAACGCATAACGCGATATAAAACAGTCAAAAACGTTAAGAAAGTCATATTCGATTAGGGATGTCTCAAGTAAAATTGTCAAATTATATAGACATACCTA